GCAGCACTCAGCCACTCATGCCACGCTTGCTCCGACTGTGCCAGTCCTGGGCTCCGATTATTTATCTGACTCTTTATCCTTGAAGTTTGCAGCATTCCCTGCCAGGGCAGAGCAGGGCTTCAACTAGAAAGGCTTCGGGCTCTGCAGCCACAGGTTGAGCATTCCCTGTGCACAGGGAGGACACGCAGGTTCAGGGAGCTGTGATGAACCAGGCTTTGGAGATGTGCCTCTGTGGTGTCCTCAGCCCTGCTGCAGGCACAGGGCTGAGCCAGGCCATGGGTGGGTGCCCAGCACCCACATGTGCCACATGGGCACCTGTGCCCCAGCTCTGCACTGCAACTGCTGCCTTTTGCACCTCCCCTTGGTGCTCCCAGTGCCCCTGCCCCCCACTCATAGGGCTGTGGGGTGACTGTCTCAGGCTACACAGGTAGTCACATCAGGAGAGCACAACATGGAATCATTGAGTCATTTTAGTTAGAAAAGACCTTTAAGATCATCAAGTCCAACCATTCATCCAGCACTGCCAAGGCCACCACTAACCCATGTCCCTCAGCATCACATCTACACAGCTTTAAAATCCCTCCAGGCATGGGGACCCCACCTGCCCTGGGCAGCCTGGACCAGGGCCTGACAACCCTTTCCATGGAAAAATTGCTCCAAATATCCAGTCTGAACCTCTGGCAGAACTTGAGGCCATTTCCTCTTGTCCTGTCTCTGGCTCTGTGGGAGCAGAGCCCGACCCCCCTGGCTCCAACCTCCCCTCAGGCAGTTGCAGAGCCAGAAGGTCTCCCCTCACCTCCTTGTCTCCAGGCTGGACACCCCCAGCTCCCTCAGCCAGGCTGCCAGCTGGGCCTGTGGGCACCAGCTGAATTTTTCACCATGCCTGGTTAGCCCCCCAGGGTGCTGGAAATGGGGCTGTGCTGTTGATGGCCACAGAGTACCAGTGCCAGGGCACTGTGTCTCACAGGAGCCAAAGGGAAGAATTTCACAAGCATGATTGATTTATCCACCAGTTTTTGTACCCAGGTGACTCAGAGAGCCCCTGGGAGGAGCTGGGGAAGCTCCACAGACTGTGCCACATACATCCCTGTCCCTAGGGGATGGATGCCCAGTAGTGGGACACAGCTGTGGCTTTTTAGTTTTCTTTTGTTTGTTTGTTTGTTGGGTTTTTTTTAAAACCAACAATGTCCCTTTTGCTGTGTGTGAAGCAGCAGGGAGTGGAGGCATCCCATTCGATTGCTGCAGTTATCCTGCAAAACAACCCCAAAAGCTTGTGCTCAGTCTGGCAGGATGGGGGGCTGTGAGCACCCTGCCTTGGTGCTGCTGCAGAGAGCCCAGGTCTTTCCTGGGTGGTTACTGCAGTAATTGCTGAGCCCAGAGTGCCCTGGATGCATGTCCTATGGCTGGGGATGCTCCTGCCCCTGCTGCACCCCCTGCTGGGCTCCAGACCTGACATGAGCTGCCCCAGCCCCCTTGGCAGGTCTGCCCCTCGTTTTTGGGCTGCTGGAGCACATGGAGGAAAGGCCTGCAAGTGAGCTCATGGGCTGGGTAGAAAAAAAAAAAAAAGAAAGCACAGGTTGGCTTTTCCTCCATGATTCTGTGGTTCTTCCTTGGACAACTCCTACCTGCCAGAGATGCTGCTCCCATGGGATTCCCATAGCTGGGTTAAAGCACCCCTGAGGAGGTGAACAAGCCCCAGATGGGCCCAGGACCTCAGCCCTGGTGGCAGTGTTCTCCTCAGCCTTGGTTCTCAGGAGTTTATCTACATGTGAAGAGGCCTGAAGCTCCCTGAGGCTGACAAGAGGCTGGTGAGCTTTGAGGAAGGGGGGGATGCTTCTGTGACCCTGAATTCATCAACTTTTGGGGATACTTTGCCTTCAGGCAGGAGCCCAAGTGACAGATGTCTTGGTGGCCACCTTGGCCTGGCAGGGACCTTATAGGGTCCCTGGAGGATATAGATATTCCTGTTCCTTTTCCTTGCCAGAAGACCTGGGTTAACCCAATCCCCACCAGCAGGGCTGTGTAGATGTGGTGCTGAGGGACATGGTTTAGCATCAGACTTGGCAGAGTTGGGTTAATGGTTGGATTTAATGTTTTTAAAGGTCGTTCCCAACCAGAACAATTCTGTGATTCTGTGTGTCTCTGCTCATGTGCTGCTGCAGGACTGGGTCCAGGCAGGGCAGTGCTGCACCCGTGGCTGGGAGGGAAGGAGCTTGTGCAGACACCGTTGGCCCAAGAACAAATTTGCCATCAGGAAATTGAAGCTGGAAAGAAGAAGACAGCCAGATCCAGACCAGGAGAGCAGCAGTGGAGGCTGGAAGGGCTTTCCCAAGAAGAAGCTGCAACCATCCCAGCTGCTGCAGAGCTGGCACTGGAACCTGCAAGGAATGAGGTTATCCAGGAGGTGCCTGTGAGACGCTGGGGAGGAACATCGACCAAGACAGAGGGACATCAACCTGGATAAAGAGAGATCAGCAGGGATGGAGGCACTGCAGATGGAAGCTAATACCGTGCCTGGAGAGGTTGTGTGGGGTCCACAGCCCCAGGCAGTGCTGTGTGGGTTCCCCTACCCCAAAAATCGGAGAGGTGTTGATCAGTTGAGCTTTGTGTCCAATCCCTACGGGAGAGGGAAGGCGTGGGAGACACAGGGGCCATTGCAGGGTCTTGGGGCCCTCCAGACCTGAGCTGTGCCTGGCACACAGCCTGGCACACAGCCTGGCAGCTCCCTGCCAGCAGAGCTGCTACTGAGCAGGGCAGGGTGTGGAAATCTGGGGTAGAAAGCCAAAAGGAGCAAGTCTTGTGGCACCGGGAGGAAGAGAAACCGGCTTCTGGAGTCACAGCGACATCTCCTGCACCAGAGGGGACAGGCTGGGAGAGCCAGGGCTGGGGCTGCAGCAGGACACCTCGGCGGGGGCTGCCCGGGTTTTTATGCCTGCTGGACGGGCAAAATATAGGAGTTTTTCTCTGGGGACTCAGCTCAAGAAGGGAAAACCTGGGAGCTGTGAGGCCCGGTGAAGGACAAGGGCGCTGGTGTCTCTCCTCCCGACCAGCCTGCGGGAGCAGGGAGGCTCTGGCGTGTCTGTGCAGATGTTTTGCAGCTTTCAAAACCCAGGAGCTGAGTGCTGGGATGCTGGTCATGCAGGGCACATGCTCTGCTGCACCCCTACTCTCAGTCCTCCGTGGGGAAACTGAGGCACGGAGCTGCACGAGGCCCCTCTCCCGATGCCAGAGCTGGTCAGAAGAGGGGGTGACCTCCCAGCTTCGAAAACAACCACAGGCCTCTCTCCTTCCTTCCCTCCACCCCCTGGGAGGCCACTGAGTCTCTTTGCATGGCGAGCGACACTTTGGGAACTGCAAACCCAGAGGGACCAGAGAGGGCAGGACAAGCCCAGTGCTTGTGCCAGTGCCAGTGGTTGGTACTGGTGCCTGCACTGGTGTCAGTGCCGGGTCCTGGCGGGGGTGGTGCCACTGCTGCGTGGTGTCCCGTGCACGCTGCGTGGTGCTGATGCCAGCAACTGATACCAGTGCCTATACTGGTGCTGGTGTACATGCTGCCAGAGCCAGTGCCCAGTGGCTGGTACCAGTGGCTAGTGTTGGCACCTGGTGCATGATGCTCCATACTGGTGATCTTGCCCAGTGTCCAGTGCTCAGATCCCATTGCCCAGTGGTGCCTGCCCAGTGGCCCCTGCCCAGTATCCCCTTGTCCAGTGCCCCCCCGTCCAGTGCCTTGTACTGGCGCTGATTCCTTGTGTCCTGGTGGCAGCGCCCAGCGCATCTCTGGGCCGGGCAGCGGGTGATGGTTCCGGGCAGCCCGAGCTGCGGCTGCGGGGCCCGGGGGGGGGGCAAGAGCCGTGCGGGGGGTCGGGGCGGTG